GAGGCCATCTCAGCTAGGCCATGTTGCAGGCTCTGTACAAGGTCATGAAGATGTAAATGTGAAGCCCTTAAACAGCTCCTTGTTCCAGGATGGAGAGAGTTACACAAATAATTACACTTGATTGTCTGCACTGGGGAAGGTGGGAGCACTGGGCCCTCCCAAGTAAGTCAAGATGCCTTCATAAGATAGAGGAAGGGGGGCTTGTTCTGAGTCTTGAAAAATGAGAAGAACTTTTTCTTCAACCCCATTTTCAAAGCATCATTATAGACTAGGAAACAGAATTTATAAGTGGAGAATAAATTATAGTTATGACAAGACAAGCAGTCAGGACTCAGAACACGGAGAGACTCATGACCTGCCTCAAGTTGCCATCTCATCCTTCCTGTGAGGGTGAGTCCCTGAGGGGTGGCAATCTGTGCATGTGAGACAGATCGTTCTTGCTGTCACTAAGTACAGAGCACAGGGAAAGACGCAGGGTGTGGGTACACCAGCTAGGTGCCCACACACTGGTCCAGGGCAGACTGAACGTCTGCAGGAGGAGAGGAAGGGTGGTGAGCAGGCACTGGAGGGTAAGGTAGAACTGGGGATGGAGCAGAATCTGAACTTGCAATTTGTCAGTGATCAATTCCAGCAGGAACTGTACACAGCATTACTAACGTACGTTATACAGGCCTGTGAGTTTCGCACACACTTCAGTAGTGCCTTTAACCCGCCCAATTTCTCTTGCAGCCACAGAAGAGGGGCAAGTGGGGGCAGGGACAGCTGTGTCTGCACTTGAAACATGCAATAGAGTCCCATCAACCTTAATAGCATGGGGACTTGTATTTCAGAGTGTTTCGCCAGGAGATAGAACTGAAGTACTGACTTCGAACCATACTAACTTTTGATTCATTCCCTGAGTCAGGAGGAGGACAAAATGACAGAGAAGAGCTGCAAGGGCTCTTCAACATTATGGGCTGAAAACAGGTACTTAATGTGTGTTACAAAGTAGACACAGTGCCCCTCTGAGGGCAACGACAGGCCTCACAGTCTCATGTTTTACAAGTAGCTTAGGAATAGCAGAGAGGGAATTAAAGATAGGATCACCGTGAGAATGCTAAAGATAGGATCACCATGATAAAATGCTAGTTTTGTATCTGATGGCATGTGACTACTTCTTGGATTTGAATTTATTTTCTTTTATGACTTTAAACCTCATAATAAAAGATATTTATATACATTTCAACAAAATTAAGACTCAAAAATGTTTCAAGTGAAAATACAAAATCCCTTCTTATTCTACCACCAATATTCTACTAGTATTGGTGCATTCCATTCCTATACTTTTATTTTTGTATATAAAAACATTTGGAGGCTCAGTGCCCATAGCTCAGTGGTTAGGGCGCTGGCCACATACACCAGGGCTGGTGGGTTCGAACCCGGCCTGGGCCTGCTAAACAACAAAAACAGTTACAACAAAAAAATAGCTGGATATTGTGGTGGGCACCTGTAGTCTCAGCTACTTGGGGCGGGCGGGGGCAGTGAGACAAGAGAATCTCTTAAGCCCAAGAGTTTGAGGTTGCTATGAGCTGTGATGCCATGACACTCTACTGAGGGTGACATAGTGAGGCTCTGTCTCTAAAAAAAAAAAAATAAAATAAATAAAAATTGGAATCATGTCACGGATAAAATTTCATATGCTTTTCCCACCATTTTAAGCAATTCTCCAGGTAATTAAATGTTCTCTAAAGTTTTGAATTTTAATAGGGACCTATCACACTCACTGTCGCAAATCTCCTAAGTGTTGAATATTTAAGTTGTCTCCACTTTTTTGCTAATGTAAATGAATGCCACAGTGACCATCCTTATGTATTTATAAATCATTTCTTAAAATTAAAAAATAATTTTAACTGTTCAAGTTTTTAGCGTTAAAACAGTAAAAGGAATGAAGAGGGAAAAGATCAATTGATTATTTAACTACATGAACTCAAATAGTTTCTACACGTAAAAAACACCCCATAAAAATAAATAGCAGAACAGCAGCCTGAGAGAAACACTGGGTTTCTTAGGAATCTTTTTGACAGGCCTCAGGACAAGCCCGCTTGCATGGTGATGAAGAGTTTGGTTATCTGGAGACCACGGTGGTTTTTGCCTCTGCAGTGTTTACCAGCTGGCCATTTACTAATACTTCCAACTCCCCTTGTTTATCATAGGGCTAGAAAGAACCTTAAAAAGATAGTCTAATCCATTGAGAGGCTTTTAGGGCTGTCTGTTTTAAACCATCCCAGACAGATGGGAATCTATACTGTTTTTAAAGGTCTCTAGATAAGAAGATTCCCAAACCACTCTTGATAACCCATTCCAGGGTTTAAGAATCTTATTGTCAGGAAATTCCTTCTTTTATCTAACTTAAATCCTGCATGCTTTAGTTTAAACCTATTTCCTTCCACTCCCTGCCCCTCATTTGGAGGGGGGTGATGGCCTCCTGATTACCACTCGTGCAGAATAACTCTTCAGACACCACTGGCAAGGGATTACTGTACTTCCTCTTACCTTTCTCTTCTCTGGTCTGAGTAACCCTGGCATCTTCAACTTTAAATATTATTAAGGACTTTAAATATTATTTAGGACTATTAAATATGTCCTAAATGATTGCTTTTCAAGTCCTTTAATCAATCTTTACTGCATTCTTTTTAACTGTCTCGAAATTTTACAAGTTTTATATGGTTTTAATCATTTGTGAAGATATAAGGTACTAAATGAGGGCATCAGTAGAGGTTTTAGAGGCTTCTTTCCAGAAGCCACTGCTTTCACTTAGAAGGAACTTTAAGCTATAACCCAATTATAGCCCAAGAATATGGGGAGGGGGGAGGATGGGTGGAGGGAGGGTGATTGGTGGGACCATACCTATGGTCCATCTTACAAGGTACAGTGAATGTTTCTAAATGTAGAATATAAATGTCTTAACACAATAACTAAGAAAATGCCACGAAGGCTATGTTAACCAGTTTGGTGAAAGTACTTCACATTGTATATAAAACCAGCACACTGTACCCCATGACTGCATTAATGTACACAGCTATGATTTAATAAAAAAAAAAAAAAGAAGGAACTTTAGAACAACTCAGATTTCTTGGTAGAGAGATATTAGCAGGTGCTTACTACAGCTTTTGTTTTTATAGCTTCCCAGCTCTAAGTGTAATGATTCAGCTTCCACACCCGTGGGGATTCGTGGCTGGCAACTATAAGTTAGGCCCAGTTATTGCTGCTGACACCTTAGGTAGTACAGCATCAACCAGGTACTAGTGGGAGGGCACAAGGCCTGAGGGCCACCTCAAATGCCTACAGGTGCAGAGATAAAACTTCAAAGGATGTAGAATTCGCAGGGTTGGTGACTGAGTGCCAGATATCCTGGCTGCTCTGTCCACTGAGGTTCGGTTGCAGTTAAAAAAGGAAGAAAAAAGTGCGAATTCAGGATTGAAAGGAGACAGATTTGAGTGTCATCTGTACGTTGACAGGCAGCGTGATAAGATAAAGCAGCAGCCTGGGAGTTAAGAGAGCTGTGTTCTGGCGTTAGCTCCGTCCCTCAGTCACGATCTGACATTTCTATTCCTCTGGGTCCCCACATGTAAAACGCAAGGAATTACAGAATCTTTTAAACTCATCAGAAGAAGACACTTCATAAATATAAGCTGCTGTAATAACCACTGAGAGAACAAAACGTTAGGTTGTCATCGATGTAAGGAGGACAGTCTTCACCTCTGCCCGTTTAAGCACTGCACGGCAAATTTGAGAGTTGAGTCAATACTTGGTTATTAGTCTATGGAGGTTACTCAGGAAAACTTTAAAATTCTAACTCCTCTGAACAAAAAGCTATGGGCTAGTTCCACTTTCCATCCATGTATGGGTGTTATAAAATGTAAAACTAATTTTACTGTTTCCTACGTTGAATATAATGAGGAAAGAAAGCCTTAGTTTAAAGGAATCCACAGAGTTCCAGCCAATGGAAATACAGAAAGATTGATGATGGATGATGGATGGATGGACGGATAGGAAGAATGGATAGATAATTGCTTGCTG